CATTGTTTATATAACGTAGTAGTGAGAGACATAACAGGCCTAATAATAATATCTTACGGCTAGTATAATGAGCTAAATACTCTATGTTTTTATTAAACGTTTGTAACGAAGCTTGCCATAAGGAGGTTTGACCTCGTGTAATGCTTGTATGGCACAAAGTTTGTAATTTTTTCCAAAGTTTAAGAAAACTTGAGGAGCTATAAATAGCGAATTAGTCTAGAATTAGCAAGTGACTTCTGCAAGTCAGTTAATGAGTAATAAGTGCATAATTTAGTGGGTTTGTTGCTGCAAGCCAGTTAATTAGTTCAGAGCTGTAAGTTTTGAGTTCGTGTTTGTGACGAAATACAAGAAGAGATATGAAAATTGAGAAGCGAAACTTATGTTATAGTTAGCTGCCAGAGAAGTTTTTAGCACAATCTCTCCTCCCACTAATTAAGTAGTCTTATCACAACACAGTTGTCAGTGTATAACCCAGTTAGCGTGGTGCCTTCCCCAGCTTCAAGCTATTGACTACAGGACGGCAACCAATCGGCAGCAGCTTCTAGTTAGTATATATTATTTAGTTACTTACTAATTAAACTGTTTTTATTTAATTTAATTATTTATTATTATTATTTATAATTTTTCATCTCACGTTCCCAATATAAATAAAAGAGGATTGCGATTTTGATATAAAGTTTGTTTGTTTGTTGTTCAACACAAAGTTCCACAATGGCCTATTTGTGCTGTACCTACCACAGGTATTGAAACCTGGTTTTTAGCGTTATTGTTTTTCAGAATTATAGCTGAACCACTGAAGGGCTTTAATATAAAGAAGTGGAAATCAAAACTGTTAAAAACTATAGCGACAGGGCAAACAAACGTAAACCCGGTCTAGTGTTAACAACCTGGTATATAATTGCACAAATTAAGAACATTAATTCAAATTAACTATTGTATTCTCAAAATAACATGAAATTAATTATAACTTAGAAGAAATGAAGAAAAATATTAATATTTTAACTACGGTCATTAAATACAAAAGCTATAAAGGTTTAACTAAGGAAACCAGAGGATTTTTATCTTTTCACTGTAATGTAATATTTTTAAAAGAGTGAACTTAGATATTTTGCTCAACATTAATCGGGGCTAACATTGTTGTTCCATAGTGCCGTTTTCTTAGAAATTAATGTTTTAACATTTAAAAAATAGATCTATTAATTTATTGTCAAACGAATTTACTAGACAATATAGCCCCCCCCCCAACCCAATGGCTTAGTAAAAAGTCTGAGGGCTTATAACACTAAAAATTGGGTTTCGTAGCTATGATGCAGCTTTACGCTTAACAACAAAGAAACAAAAGTCAAAACTATAGACTATGCCTATTATTAACCATTATAATAGGGCCAACAAAAGTGTCCTTGATTTAGTATAACATTTCACAATCTAAGTAAAGTGATCCAAGTTGACTATAGTGTTCTCAAAATAGCTCGGCGTTAATTAGAGTGTTTCTAAGAAATTAAGAAGAGTATTATTTTGGGTCTTAAATAATAATAATAATAAACCAATTTCGAGCGTTTAACCTCCTATCATCTTTATTTTCCTGGGCCTTCACAGACGTTGTTTATTTGTGAAGCTAGGCATACCGTTAGTTGCTTGAAACCATGGAACTTACAAATCTTAGAGTTTGCAGTTGAAGAAATATAACGCTTTTGAAGTGAAGTGTTCTTTGCATTCTTCACTTTACCGTATAATCCGAAATAACCCACCCAAATAATCGAAACCTTTAGGTATAGAAAATATGAAATATGTCTTTTTTTTAGTTTTCATAATGTTTATGAAAAATAAATTTGATTTATGTTTTGATTGATACTTGCACTTTAAGGGCAATACATTTTTGATGACTTTTTGGTTTCAAATAAGTAATAGGATTTGAATTATAAGCTATAGTTAGATGTTGACTACATCAATCGTAATGAAAAATAGAGAGAGAGAGAGAAACAAAACAAAGAGTTACAAATATTAGTAAGCATCTAATAAAATTAGGCTTATTGGTACGGAATTTTGACTGATTAATTTACAAGAACTTAGCGCTTGTTTCTTTGATCTATAAGTCGCCAAACTGTTGTTAAGATGCAATTACTTTTGACTACAGTAACAGGAGAGATCGACTGAAGATCTAACAATAACAGTTGTTTTTGAACTTAAAGTGATTCTGTTACAACAGGATGGCTTTAAGTTTGAACAGCACTAGCTGGTTTACTTGTTTACGTCCTTAGATATATAGTCATTTCCCAGTTGTACCTGCACACAGGTACCTGATCTCTGGAAGAACGAAATATTTTTATTTTATAGAACTTGGTGTTTCTGGTCACGTTGAAAGTCCAAATAAATTTCTGCAATGGGTAAAGATATAGTATGCATATCTGCAATACTGAATAACAACAACAACAAAAATAATGTGGGCAGGTTCTCAGATACCAGTAAACTCTAGTGATGCATATCAGAAGTATGGAATAACTTGCTAATGAACTTAAAGAATCTCGAGGGGAAACGTGCAGCACGCAAGAGGAATTGGTTTTCAGCAATGTTTGCCGACACCCTGAGGTAAAAAGGTTAATTATTTTAGTTGGCAACCACCAATGTTCACATTTCTTAAGCGCCCCGAATTAAGAAAAATAAGCGCTCGACGAAACTTCTAAGAAAAATTCCGCCGAAACTAAATCTAATTTCATAAGGAGAGTTTTCTATACAAATGTTTATTATATATATATACACTTGTAGTTCACGTTGGTAATCTTAATAAAAAAAATTACAAAAACACGTCAGAAGTATCTTCAGGATAATTGATCTGGATCTGGTATGTGTACTATCTTATATTTTCGACATACACGAGACTCATACTAATCTAGCAAGCATACATCGAGGAAGATATATATCCAGGGGTTTCAAGTCGAAGAATGCCTGTTTCTAGCTCAACTTTACTTTGAAGGATTGATATATTATGTTTTATATACGCTATGTTTAAGTCTTCAAACAGTTAGTGACAGTTCATGACTATAGTGATTACAGCAACAGGACTATATTTAAGGTAGAAATGTAAGGTAAAGAAGCTGTTCATGACAAAACTGGAAAAAGTACTAAAACTAAACCAACTCAATATAATCCCCAAACACTAGTAAACATAACCAAGCACTCTCTCTATTGCATACAACCAAAATCGCATGTAATAAACATGACGATGAAGTCAAAGGAAAATAGTTTTCAATAAGATAAAACAATGGTTTACTGACTTTCAAAATCTCTATCAAACAAAACAATAGCTTCGTAACGAAACAATTAACAACAATAACTTTTAGCTTTCCCTGTTTACACAGTTTTTTCATTATTCATAAATATACACGATTATTACTCTTCTCCAGATTAAAAATGACAAATATTATGCTATATCGCGAACTTTATGCAACTCTAGAACAGACCTGAAAACTTTCATTAACTAGCTTTGTCTACTTTGGATTCTAGAGCTATGTGAAGTTTTAGAGAAAATTTCAAAAATTTCAAGAGCAATTGAAAAGGGTGCAGGTATTTTATTTTTTACTTAGCGGCATAAATGTGAAGAGGAAAATTCATTGTGCACATTTTTGCAATGTTTCATTTTTAAAAATGTAAATTCTGTTTTAGAATGGCTTTAAAAATAACCCGTATTTCGTCATTATTTGTCGTTGAGGGAAGCGATAGCAAGAAGTAAGAACGCCAATTGAAGTAGCGAAGATCGGTCGTATGACCGCTTGTAATGTGAGCACCTAGCAATCAAGACCAGAGGATCCTCACTTTATCTCTAGATTTTACGATATGTACCATTCCTATAGCCAGTAGCATGAAGCATGAAACAATAAATTCAATCTGTGTCTACTTAGCTGAGGCAGTTACCTATTTATTTTAGTTGTAAATAAATACTCATGCTTGAAGGTATGTTACATCAGTAGTGAATAATAATAATAAAAACCCTTCCCTTCACTAGTGTCACTCCCGTTCATACCACTCAACTGGCATAACTCAGCTCATAAAGGTACTACACATTCCAATCTCATGTTATTAACTTGATAATGTATGTAATATTAGCAGTATTCTGATCTGTATAATACTTCTCTGTATGAGTAACATTTATTTAAAGGTCCAGTTAAATAATAATGACTACAGTTTAAGTGTCACGGGTTGATGTAACATACAGAAATCCATCCAAAAATGCTTGAGCGAAAAACAAACACCACAGTAAAAACGGCTTTGTCGTTTCGTTCAAGCATTTTGAGATAGATTATTGTTTTTCCTTTGTATAATCCCCTTGGTGGCTCATTGATAAACTTTCAGGGTTAGATACCTTCTGTGGGCTTAAAAACTAACAAAAAATATACAAACGAACAAACCTTTGTATATATTTTGTCAGTTTGCGATGCGCCCTCCAGTGGCTAAACGGTAAGTCTGTAGTATTGCTCGTGGGGTAGGGGGCAGAGCAAAGATAGTCCATTGTGTAGCGTTGTGTTGAACAACTACCAAACAACCAAACGTTGGTACTTGAAGCTGTTTATAATTTCATACAAACTGATAAATAATTTGCAGAGTAATGTACTTATTTGACAAAGTATTAGTTTTATGTATACAGAACTAGATATTCATTTTTATCACCACCATAGTTGCAAGTCATTTACAAGGAGCTCGTGAACCTTTCTAGTGGTGCATTTTCTGCAGATCCCTGAATCATGACGGTTTCCTTTTCCCCCTGTATCTCAGAGTCTCCAGGTCTTACCGTTATTCATCACTGTTACTTCTACAGTTCTTACATTTTAACCAGTTTTCTTATTTTTACGTCCTACTTTCTCCCAAGATCCTTAAGTTTTCAAGGGTTACCTTTTTTCTATACCCCTGAGAATTTAGATTCATTACCTTCAGCTCTACATACTTAAGCGTACAATCCGGGTTGACATCATACTTTTTCCCAAGATATTTAAGTTTTCAAGGCTTACCTTTTCCCAATACCCCTGAGACTTTAGATTCATCACCTCCAGCTCTACATACTTAAGTGTACCATCTGGGTTGAATTCTAAGTTCGGTCCACCGTTACTTGAAGGAATGCTGACATTTCGAAGATACCTTAAAAGTAGAAATAATCAATAAAATTTGAGCTATAATAATCAAAGTAAAATGTTTATTTTCATAATAATAACCATGAGATAAATCATTTCTCAATGATTAATTACCTGTTGGATGAATATTGTGTTTATTAGTAATAATTGTGTTATTATTAGTAATAACAGCAAATTTATACTTTGTTCCTTGTGTGTTGCCGCATTTCACTCAGTGCCAGAGTTCATCAATTTTGTACTGGAACATTACCCACATATTACTACTCACAGCATAAACAGTCATTTTAATGGTACACTTATGCCATAAAATAACATTAATGTTGGTAACCACAAAGTTGAAATGACAAAGTTGAAATATAACTTATTTTGATAAAAAGTAAAAGTTTTTACTAATTAAAGTTTAACACTACTATGGTTAGAAAAATAAAAGTTTTGCTCACCTGAAGAACATATCACCTTTGCTCCAGTGGTCAGTTGAGATGCCATTGCATTTTAGTCCTGGCGATAGGCTTTTATTTTCATTCCGAGGATCATTTACAAAAAGCTCCAAGCCGTAACCGAATACATTGAATGCCCGCTCAATCTCATCCTGAAGTCTAGCTTTAGTAGTGTTAAAATGAACCCCTTAAAAAAAAGAAGGAAGACGGGACAATCAAAACGTTTTTGAGGGTGCTTTGAAACTGGGTGAATGTAAAGATCACAATTCTGATAAACAAAATTTAACAGAGGCTATTTACTTTTGCGAATAGTATTTTCTTCATGTTTATTTTTACTGTGCTCAGATAGAATAGGCGACATTACTGCTACCAAATGACTTCTTACTGCTGTTAATAGACACAGGTAAGCCAGTAATTTCTGGTGAGGAAAAGTAGTATATTGCAGATATCAAAAAACAGTTTTCACCAAAGAAACATCCAGTATTTTACAAGGCTTGACAATGCTATTTTTTCCTCTCTGAGTTATCTCAGATAATATTCCACGAAATTGAAAATGAAGATAATTTTTTCCATCGTTGATGAATAACGCACTCTCCTACTACTGGACAAAATCTTAATACCCATACTCCTACCTCTCTATAAGTGTTTGGAATGAGACACCTTAAGACATGGCTTAACTCTGCACTCATGTTGTTTTAATTCACCTATAATGTATTTTGGCAACCACATTATCTGATATAGGTTTCATTGCACTGTTTAAAGGTAGTATTACTAGCAATCAACTCAAAATACAACAAGGCTTTTCCTAATTTTTCTAGACCCAACCAAAAAAAGATGGAATTCTTCATTTAACACACAATCGACATTGTTAGTTACATACATTAATACTGGCAATATGATGTATTACCATTAATAGTATTTTACACCATCAAAATATAACCATAACTTTTAAAGATATACGTACCAGCAATCTCATACCATGGTTAGCCTACTTTCATAACAAAATCAACAAAAAACTGGTTTATTACAAGTGTTTCATACAGGTTTGAGAATAACAAAGTTTGCTGCTTAATAAGCAAAGAACAAATTTTGATACTACTGCTGCTTCTACATTTCTCATTTCTAACGTTAACCTAATCTCATG